CTTCCAGCGCACACTTCTACCACCTTCTTGCGTCTGCGAGCAATCTTGATGCTACAAAGGGTAACCCTAGCGATACTCCGAAATAAATTCTTGCCGCAAAGTAAGTACCCGCGCCTTTTCAATCCCTTACCACGTTTCGCCGCGTGCCTATCCGAACACCAACACGCGTTCGCATGCACCGCTCTTTGACCGGCCTTGAATCCTCTCTTTCCGTAAATCCTTCCCAGAAACCAGGTAGGTTTGCCCGACTCGGCCGCTCCGTATTTTCTCGTAATTTCCTTGGATCCCAAATCTCACCCTTTTGTCTTGTTCTCTGTTCGACAATCTTGCTTTCGATTCTTTTCGATTCTTGTTCTTTCCTTGCAGCCAATCCAAAACCTAGTCTCTTCGTAAAGCACTACATCCACACATGTATAGTCACGCGGAGAACCTACTCCTTCAACCAAGCCTCCTCTCTCGTGCTGGAGAGAATGCGCAAATGTAATAATCGAATGCTGTGTTACTGTATGGTGCTGCAAGTATCCGCGAGCTAGTCCCACCGCAATCGCATTGATGCCCAAATAAAATGCCTTCCACTACTGATGCAATTGAAATATCCTTTCCCTTTTTGCGTATCACTTCAAAATCGATATATTGGAAATGGATATATTCGCCGTCCTTTGTTTTCTCGATCGGTCAGGGTATTTGGGGGTTTCTTTCCTTTTCAATTGGAACCTATATAGCTGTTTTTGCCTTTCTCTTCTTTGGATCTTTCGCCTCGTATGGAAGAGATTTCAAATTGTTGCAGATCAGGACGGCGGGGGTTCGATGAATCGCGAATTGAAATTGCACTTATCTTCTGTGCAATGGCGGATGAAAGGATTTGGGAAGAAGAGGTGGTGGGTAAATGGGTGTGAGTGGGTGAGTTTGGGTGGGTAGAAACGGGTAAGCTGAGAGAGTAGGATATCAATTGGTTTTCCCAGAGTTGGATTTTGAAATTTGAAACTTGATTTTTTTTGATTGATTGATTGATTGATTGACTGACTGATTGACTGATTGACTGACTGATTGATTGATTGACTGAACAAACAAATTACCTTTCCAAATGGTAAATCAATAGAAGATCTTTGTACTCAATTGAATGATAGAGAGTATCACCCAGATTTATTCCTTTCAAGCTTAAACGCCGCGTGGCAGGAACGAGGTTTGTTGTTGCGACCGTCTTCTTGTATTATTATTGTATGATTGCGCGGGGAAAATTTTAGTGATGTTCAACAGATTAAGCAAAAGCAAAAAGAAGCTTTTCCCAAAGAGATCAAAGTGGAGAGTGGAGTGAAGTGGATTATTAAACGGTAAAATGATGCGGAAATGAGTGAATTATGATAAATTATGATAAATTATATTATAAAGCCACAATTGACACAGCCACATCTTGAATGCTGAGGTCACCTGATACAGGTGGATTCATCACCTGGGCATCCGCAGTAATATTTATCCAGTTTACATATCTAGATAGTATCGATAGACTCCAGGGCCTTTCTAGTATATATACATACATATAGCAATAGATATAATTGTTCAATATTATCATCATTAGATATTAATATTAATTTATAAAACACAAACAATCAATCATTGAACTCGAATATCATGAGTATGACAAGGACTTTATTAAATCCTTTAGTTTAGCTTGCTCCCAGTTACCTAGATACTTCACTTATATTAATCCATTACCTAATATATAAAGATTACACATCATGCACTCACTTACCCTTCACATACCATTCAACACCTCTTCTAATCAAATCATATCATATCATATAATATCAGTAAATCATCCACAATTCTTTCGCTCTCACTAACCAGATATCCCATCTCTATCTCGAGCGCAGCGAGCTAAGGGGGTTTGGGGGCTTGCCCCCATCATCAATAGCTTCATCAACAAAAACAATTCGATCATCATACGTCTATTAAATGACGCTTCGCTGACCCTCCGGGGGCCACTGCCGTGGAGGCAGACTAGATATTATTATTTTCCCTCCTTTGAACTCCCTCGAGTTTTCTACCGTAAGCCGGTAACAACAACTACCTACCTATTACTTACTACATTGCATATGCATCCATACATATATAATACATAATACACACACCAAATACTATATAATACATTAACCCGCAGCAAACCAAAATAAGCTGTCCTACACTCCCAACCAATCTCCAGCATCCCACTCAAGCAAACTCACCACCCATCCCCCATCACAAAACGTTCATCAGAAACAAGCCGACTGACTCGCTTAACTTACATACATACCTGGGTATATCGTGTTGTACCATCCTGTACGTACCTACTGTATTGTATTGTATTGTATCCCACTCACCGACTGACTACTAACTGAATGACAGACTGACTGACACCATCATCTCGATCCTCCATCTATCCATCCATCGTATCTCACCCCCCTTCATCTACCAGCTACCACGTATTCTGCATCTTGGCTTTAATAGTCCTAGTCCTAGTCCTAGTCACTCACCACCCACCCACTCACCCACTCGATCCTCCCTTACACACAATCTGTATTCATTCCATCTATACATAATGCACATCTATCCATCCATCCAACCAACCAACCATCCATTCATTTCCACCAAACAAAATCCGTTCCGTCCCAATGGTTTCTGGAGTTCCGGGAATACACATCCCATCCATCACTCTCCCAGACCCCCGTATCAAAACAGAAACACAACCCTCAAATCCCCATCCCCAATCCCAATTCCTTTTTCCCGTTTTTCCCACTTGTGTCTTCATACCTACCTACCTACCTACCTACCCAGTAGACTCTAGCTGCAGATAGAAAGACGGGACTACCGCAAGAGAATAATAACACTATTTCCATCCATCTATCAACCTCTCCAATCCAAATCCAATCCAAACCCAAACCAGAACCAGAACCAAAATCCAAAGCCCATTCACCCATCACATATCCTCTCCTCCCTCTCCTCCTCATATCCATACATCCATACATCCATACATCTATACATCCATATATCCATACATCCATACATCCATACATCCATACATCCATACATCTATACATTCACATATCTATACATCTATACATCCATACATCCCAACACAACAAAACACAAAAAAACCTAACAAAATATAATACATCACTCTCTCTACACTCTATACTATAAAATACATCACAATCCCCCCACCCTCCCCCCCGATTTCTACAGATATATGCACTCGCACTCACACTCCCATCCATCTCACACTCCCATCCATCCCACACTCCCATCCATCTCACTCCCATCCATCTCACACTCCCATCCATCTTACACTCCCATCCATCTCACACTCCCATCCATCTCACACTCCCATCCATCTCACCCACACCTCACCTCATCTCACCTCACCTCGAGAGTCAATACATTGTAACACATACATATACACATACACATACACATCAGCTAACCAAACCAAGGTAAGATACATGATACATGATATATTAAGTCATGGAACCAGGGAGCCACCATCTGGAATCTCCCGTCTTTCGTCTTTCGTATTTCGTATTTCGTATTTCGTATCTCATTACTTGTCCACCTCTCCATCCATCCATTTATTCATCCATCCACCTTCCCATTTGTTCATCTACCTTTTCTCAGTAAACAAAACAAACCAAACCAAACCAAACTCCAAGAAATTTCTCCAAAATACCTACCAGGTAAGATACGTATATACCATCCAACCATCCATCCATCCATTCATCTAGAACTAGAGAATCCTAAAATAGCGCATAGATACCTAGATAGTATCCGTAACCAACTACCTATCTCCTTACCCACCTACCTACCTACCTACCCCTCTATCTCCCTACCTCCCTACCTACCTACCTACCTACCCCCCTACCTATCTCCCCACCTCCCCTCCCACCTCCCCTCCCTACCTTCCCTACCCACCTCCCTACCTCCCCCCCTACTTCCCTATCAACACTATTAACATTCCCTCCAGAGGAACTCCATCTGAATTTTTCATTCATTCATCTCCAAAAAATTCTTATTTCTCATCTTGTAGATATCTAGGTACCTATCTAGGTAGCTGGAGTGTTTTGAATGAATGATTGAATGAATGAATGAATGAATGAATGAATGAATGAATGAATGAATGAATTGATTGATTGAATGATTGAATTGATTGATTGATTGATTGATATAGGGGTATATACTACACAAATGCCAAATATGCTCCGTCTATCTGCTAGATAGTCTCTAGATACCTATAGATGAATAGATGAATAGATAGATAGATAGATAGATAGATAGACAGGTAAATACCTAGATACCTACCTACCTAGATACCTAGGTAAATATAAACCAAGCAACCAAGCGACCAATAACGTAAACGTCAATATCAACGTCAACGTCAACGTAAACGTTAACTCACAACGTCTTTTTAAATTAATATAGAATAAGAAAAAATAAAATCAAAATAAAATCAAAATAAAATCAAAATAAAATTAAATTAAATCAAAACCAAACCCCAATTCTCCCTTCCATTCTTTTTCCCAAAACTCCATTCACCCATGCAATGCACACATACAATGCAAATGAACTAACCCAATCGCTAGAAATTTTTCAAAAAAAAAAACTTTCTGTGCTTCCTCAAAAACTCCAATGAGTATGAGCCCATGTCCATATTTTATATTAACTGCGGTTGCATGTATTGCTGAAGAGACACATCACGCGGTAGCAAAACGACTATGCCCCCTGATGGTCTTCCCGTATTTAAAGAAGAGGTAGGGGAAAGGCGTCATGACCAGCGTCAAAAACGCCAGGAGACTGGTTGCCCATTGATCGCCGAGCTTGTGATACATTTGGATCCCAAAGAGCGGAAAGATAGCTAGTGGAATTGGTTCAGCCTTTGTTTTTGTTTTTTAAATTCTCCTCTCGTACATATAAGACATTTATGGCTATGTGGCCGATGTATCTCAAATCGATGGGGGAGAGGGGGAATAGGACTAACCTCCGAAACTACTTCTCATGAAACTATTCGCTGCTAGAGCGCTGGCTGCATACAAGGGATATGCATCGACCAGGAATGTAAAGATGCCAGTAAAGACAAGAATGGTTCTGCATGAATCCCAGCCGGTTAGCTACTTTTCCAAGTGTATCGTTTGGTACCACATCAAATGCGTGTCATGTGAGACATCTCGAGTCTTCTTTCTCATCAGAGCATGAAATAGAGTGAAGATTCAGCATCACATTTCCCCAAATAGGAACAGATGTGCAAAACATGAAATGTCAAGATCAACTTCATCTCCATGCAGGAACCAAACATCCATGATGCAAGCGCCACTTCGGCGATGGAACATACATGGTTCGGGGACCTAACTGCAAAGCGAGAGACACACGAGAGGGCATCACGAATAGTGAAGAAATTTCACGAGAGGGGGAAAAAAACCAGACGTACCCCATTCCGAAAATACCAGATCCAATGATTGGGAAAACCCAATGAACAGATGAATATGTTGTCCACGCAAAGAGGAATAAGCCGATAGGAACGAGACAAGCTCCTAGAATAGCTGGAGGTAGGCGATATTCAGGTTCAGACCCACCAATTTCGCCCGTCATTTCTTCTCGCTGATTGATCAGTCTTACATAGTTCTTATGCCAGAAAGGGTCAGTAGCCGCTGCGATTAACATCCCAATGAACAAGCCTAGGAAGGTCAATCCAACTTGATATTGTTGGAATCCGTGTTTACCCTCAAAGACGAGAGGAAAGGCGCCAAAGAATAAGTAGAGGATACCGAGCAAGATAGCCGAGAATATGCAAAGACTGAGACACATAGGCTCAAAGATTAACAATTGACCGGGTCTGAGTAGGGAAATACCAATGGTCTTTGGAATAGACTTGTTGAGTCTCTCATTAGGTGCAAACCAACGATCATCGCCAGTCTCCTTTCGCATCTTACGAGCTTTGGCCTTCAAGACAACCGGATGGTAAGTTTCCGGGACGAGAGAAAAGATCAATGACAAGTTGCACGCTGACCAGATGATCAGAACGTAGAATGTCCAACGCCATGACGAAAATTGGTTAATGAATCCAGAGATCAGTGGACCAAACGATGGACCGATGAACGGCGATGCTGTATAGAGTAGCATAGGACCTTGAAGTTGTTCTCGATTGAATAAGTCTCCCACTGTGCCTCCTGCGACAGACAGAAAAGCACTTCCGGAAAGACCAGCAAAGAATCTCGCTACGAGCATCGTCTGAATGTTTTGCGCCACAGCCGAAGGAATAAGCCATATTAAGAAGAAAGAAAAGGAGCAAAGATATATCGGACGACGACCATAGAATTCACTATTGATGTCAGTAAGTACCTAAATTGAAGCAGAGATATCGAATAGAATGCTTACGAAAGCGGTCCGAGCAACATGGGTCCCAGACCAAGTCCAAGGATAAACATAGAAAGTCCAAGGGTAGCGACTTCTCGAGAGCAATTGAATTCCTCCTCTATCTGGGCGTATGTACTGGTATACATTGATGACGCACATGTACTAATATGCAAGTCAGATTAGTATGGGTAATATCCCACATTTTTCGTTATTTAGCTGCACCATCCATAACGGGTCATCGTGCCGAAAAGGTAGGTGAAGTTTGATATCAACCAAGGTTCCCAGATGAACCCCATGTGAAAGTCCCAAGGTAGAGAGTACCAATTCAAGCGAGGAAAACATCCATTGATAACAGATGGGGTGAACTTACACACAAAAAGAACTTGCGCTAACGATAATAACCACCAACCACTTTCTCCCATGAGCCATACTTCTCGGACACATGGGATCACTATCACCGCCATCAAACTTCACCTCGAAAGGATCTCTCTCATCTCCTTCTCCTTCGAAATCCCCTGCAGGATTGTCCGGATCGTCGCAACCATATCCGTTGGAAGAACGCCTTCGTGCTAGTGAAATGGATCGACTTAGTTTCTTGTCCCATGTCGGAACGGGTGTGTCTGGAGGTGAGATTACGATGGGTGCGAATTCCTTGTCAAATTCGGTTGGAGCATGTGAGAGTTCCGAGGGTGAGATGGGAAGTTTCTCGAAATCGAGTTCTTGGATGGAGGACATGATGAGATGAGTATGAAGTGTTGCCGATGATTGGAGAGGAGAGGAGAGGAGTGAATCAATGAATTGTTTGTGAGAAATAGGAGGGGATGTGAAGTTGCGATTGTGGTATCAAGATATTGAAAAGATGATAGCTATATCAATTCATTATTCAGACGGATGAATTCATACAGGTCGGTAGGTTGGATGAGTGTATTGTTGTACACATTCATTCCCTCTGGTTGAAAGATATACTCGGGGTGCAAGATGGCATCGGGTCTTGATATATAAATGGTCATGAGAAAGTAAAAAAAATATGGTTAGGGGATAATAAATAGCTATATAACCTTAATCCAAAGCTTTTACAGCTTCCCCTGTCGTTTTTAAGATGGTAGGAATCTACGTAGGTAGGGATTAATCAGCAAATCTCAACTTTGTCATTGTCATAAGATTGTCATGACTCATGAGGAGATTGGATTCTCTTTGTTGATTGTTCCTTACGTAGGTATTGGATAAAAATTCGCCTTCGAAATGGGGATTTTGCTCATAATGAGGAGAAAGTGGGGGGGAGGGGGGCGGATGTTGCGGAGTTCGCGGGAGTAAACTCGACACCTGAGAATGGAATGGCATAATGGCATAATGTCATTGTAATGGCATCCATTGTTACGAATATCATTCTTCAATGATTTCAGGAACTTGCCAAGATTTGGTCTTGTCATGTTCTTGCGGTGATTCTTGCGGCGAAGAAGATGATTGAAAGAATAGGATGAATATGAATTGAAGTTTCTTCATCTCTTCACCTCTTCACCTCTTCATTTCAAACTTCATCGTTATTCGGCATCTGATATCAACCAACTCATCCTTTCACCGATTCCATGATACTATATCCGTTACATATCTGATCCAGACTGTATTCAAACTTCTCTCAATCCGCACATCTCCCAAGCTCCCGAATTTTCCCCAGACAGACTCGAGGCAGGTTCAGAATGATCTATCTCAATACCAGAACCAGACCGTTTTGCTGCCTTATTAATCTGTTGCATATGTTTTTACGCCATTTCATCATCTCTCCATCTATCGTAGCCCCTGCGTGCTAGCTTGTCGGCTCGGTTGCATACAAACGCCGACGATCCCTCATTATCGTTTGAATGTTTATCCTTCTTGGCATTAGTGTCAACACTGCACATTGCACAGTAAGCATTGTCATGAGGGGTTTCGTATCATCACAACTCAGTGTCGTTATACTTTAACGCCGGTAGCTAACAATCCACGCACTTAATGGCTGACCCCTTCCCAGTTGAGTCGGGGAAATTAAGTGTCTCTGGAAAGCAGACGTCCTTGATCAATCAACATCCATATCATTCGTTTGGCTTTGGAGTTACCTATTGTGGAAAATTCAATATCTTCATGCTATCTTACCCTTGCTGAATTCAATATTGTAATATTTCTTCAAATCACATATGAATTGGTTGTTGTGTGGTAGAAAAAAGCTTTTCTATGTTGATCTGTTGGGATGATACATTTCCTATCAAAAATACTAGCGGAGGCACTTATTTGCTTTCCGGGGAAACTTACTTTCCCCAACTTAAAAATAGGTAGTCGGCGTTTAAAAGGCCGACTATTAGTTGCTCGTGGTTCTTGTTGCTATTCTGGTGATTGATATTCCTCTTGAGCCTGTGCGCCATGGGAGAACGTCAATGTCTTAGATTCGGTAGTTAGTACTGGGTCTATGCGGAGTGCATATATGACATGCGGCGAGACATCACTCTGTATTCGGGAGTCCGTAAAATCAAACATTCATGCTTAATTTTTCAGAGCGAGCTTCACTTTGCTTATGCCATAAGATATCATTTGTTCACATCCATCCAAGTGCTTTAGTAGACACGCAGAGAAAATGATGAGGAAGAATTAGAACAAAGCAAATGTAGTTTCAATTGCAAAGAGGTGGTATCTATTACGAATATCTTGTTATTCTGAATCCATTCCCAGAATACGTAAAAAGCGTGTTCTCGTCCAGTCCTCTCAACTCATTCATCATCTCCTTTACACCAATCACTCAACCTCATCCTTGCCACTTGAATCTACTCTCCCTAAACATTCCCACCATTCCAGTCGGAAGTAATCCTTTCTCTACAACATTTATCCCCCCAAACCTCTCCTCCATATCTGCTCCATAAAGCTGCAAAATCCACTTCTGATAATTCGTCATCCCTCTCGTCTGCCATTTGCCCCCCTGCACCACTCTCCCCACCATGATATCAACCGCGCACTCCGTTGGTTCATCCATCAGCTGAACATACGCATAGTGCAGCGCGCTCGATGTGCGTTCTCGATATTGTGTATATTCTTCAAACGAGGGGAAGCCTTCAAGGTCGAGCTCCTTATCACGTCGGGGACGACTTGACCATACGTCGCCATCATCATATTGCTTTTTCGCGCGTTCGTAGCTATGACGCTCTTTGATGAAGAAATCATCCATGATTTTATCTGGATTATTCTCAACTTGATCGCGGATCAAATAGAGTGGTACAAAAGGAGATTTGAGGTCAAGACTACCCATGGACATGGGAAAATAGAGGTATCCTTCCGGAATGTTTTCCACACCAAAACGAGTATGAAGCATGGATTTAAGAGTTGAGGTAACGGAGCCACCGGTTTCGGAAAAGAGTTGGGTTTGAATACGGGAGAACGTCGTGAGCATATCTTCCACGTGGGCGAGTCCGAAACAATGGGCCGGTCGACCGAAGTTTGTGGTGAAGAAACGGGAGCCGTAAATGTTCCAGGCTTGAATCCAATCGAATATAGACTTGCAGGCGTTTAGTTGAAGACTTAACTCTTTGATGTGGTTATCAACTAGCTTTTGGTCAATCAAGAATCGACCAGTGAGAGGATCCAGGTATAGGAAATTCCAACGGACTAGCTCTTTAGGGAGAGACGATGGAACCTTGGTGATAGTGGTAGGATGGCGAGTTACGGTGCAGGAACCTGTTTTATCAGTATTAAAGGCAAGTCCCACGAGGGCTGCAAACTCTTTCATGACGTTCCAACCAGATACGCAAACTGATTCGCTACCCCAGAACCATATATCATCGTGTAAGCGATATAGACGTGCACCATTGGTTCTATTATTCATGGCGAAATCAAGACAGAAGAGAACAGTTTCGCCGAGCATATCACTTAGTGGACCACTGATTGGTGTTCCACGTTTGCGGATACGAACAGGGGCGGATGGTCCATCGGAAGGAAAGACCATGGGTGCTTCAAGAGCGCGGCGGAAGAAAGATATCCATCTAGAGGAAACACCAAAATGTGATAGAACTGAGAACATGCTTGTATGAGAGAGAGAAGGTCCAAACCAAGCGAAATCGGAACGAACGACCGTCACAGGGTTGCCAAGGCGAGTTTGCATTATTATTTCGGTGGCCAAAGTGTGAAGAACTGATTGTGTGATTTGTTGAGGGGATTTACGAGTGTCAGTTTCGCATTCAGAGTCATCGTCTGCGTATCCGCCTCGTTGTTCCTCGGGGGAATGTTGTAACTGTTCGAGGAAAATTTCAGAGTTGAAATGGCTCTCTCGGATAGCTTCAACGTTGATTTGATTGCTACTAGTAGGTTGGTCAAAGAAGTATTCGCGTCTGTGTTTGGCTGCTTTTGGAACTTGTGTAGTGGAGCTGGCCCAGACATTGTGGGAATTTTTGAATTCGGTAAGCTTGCCTTTGAAGAATACAGACCATTTAACGCCGAGATAACGAAGAAGAATGGATTGTAGAAGATCTTCGTCATGATAAAATCGGTAGCGACCGTTGACTTGCCGGCGTTGTTCGACAGGCGTACCCTCTGAGCCCCATTTCCACTTGTCGAGTGAGGATATGCGCATATTTAGAACGTCTGCAACTTCAGCTAGGACGACCTTATTGCTTTGGAAGTCTTTAAGAATCGCGCGCTTTTCATCGGTAAGAAGATCACTGCGTAGGAGGCCGTTTATCACCCATTTCAAGGACTTTTCGTCAAAGTGCACTTGGTTTTCCATCTCCTTTTCAAAAGTAGCGGTCTGAAGTCGTAGTGTCTCCCAAGCATTCTTGATGTCCGACGTTGAGGTAAAAAGCTTGGTGAGATATGATTCGATCGCAGCAGAATCAGTTTCTAGAGGATTAAAAACATAGTCTTCCCATTTCTGTCGCTGCTCATGCATCTCCTTTCGACCAATGCTCTCAAATTCGTCATCAGACGCCGTCTTTTCTTCCGAGGCCGAGAGCCACTCATTGACAAGTCGACCATATAGAAAGGCGTATTCATATTTCAAAGAATGAACGTCGAGCTCTTTCTCAAGTTTTTCTTGCCAATCTTTGAGGAGGCCTTCTGAAACCGATGGGTCATGTTGAGCTTGTTGAAGGAAGAGTCTGATGTTATATAACGAGATAGATTTGTTGTCTTTGAGCTTTCCCATAGAAGCAAGACTCTCAATACGATCTAGTAAAATGCGGAGTTTCTCACTTTGCTTGGGCTGATTCGAGACGGTTTTAAGAAGTTCCGACTTTCCTTGCTCGAATGCAGATCTCTGGCTTGAAATCTCTTCGAGTTTTATGGAAGTGATGGAGGAGAGTGTATGGGAAAGAATATCGGTGGATGCCATGATTAAGCTTTTTTGTAATGTAAATTATGAACTTTGCTGGTAGAAGATGTGCTTCGACAGCGGGCGATGTTAGAAGGGAGAGAAATACTAGTGTAGGTGTGAATGATGAGTTTCCTTGGAGAGGATGGAGTGAGAAGGGAAGTGAGAAAGGAGGATCAGTGCCATATTTATAATTTGAGAATATGATGGAGCTTCAATGTAGATAAAGATAAAATTCCACACAATCATGATGATATCATCACCAAAGGGTACAATAGGTCATCCCAGGCACAAAAGAAAGCTTCCCTGGCTTATGAAATTGGCTTGGTATGATTGAGAAACTGGGGTATTCAACTTTGCTAATCCAGTTTCCTCTTAGTCGTTTTGACAAAACATAAAATTGTGTGTGTTGAGATGCACTGCTTGACCAATAAACTCATCAAAGAAGAACGATCCATGGATCAACTGGGTCCAACAATGAAAGATCAACAACGGCACAGAATTGCTTTCTCCACTTGAATCGTCCATGAGTCAACGGCAAACAATTTACGGGACTGTGAGTAAACAGTGAAATCCCCGGGGGCCTCCAGGGAGGAGGCCCCCCGGCAAAATTTCCCGCCATCGGTGCGGAACACAGAAGTTCCACAACTATGCCTTTGACATACGTACAGTACAGATAAGATATTATCCTTAATTCGGGAGTTCTGAATTTGTAGACGAGAGCATTGGCGTTGACGGAATAGGGACCAGGTGAGGTTGAATTTAGGGAGTATCAGAATCTAAATCGGTTATTCCCTAGAAAGGTTAGTGCGGCGTGCTCCCGTGGCCGTGCCACTTTTACTTGAGCCATAATCCTCCTCTCATTTGCTTCCGTTTTTGATGTAATCTCAACCTTTATACCATTATGATTTAATTATGTATAGAGATTGAGATGGCACCAATTTCTATGTGTGCTGGAATCTTAGGTGATTCAACGACCAATCACTATATTTGAGTGTCGCTAATACATGCCAAATGGGCAGTGCTATTTATAGACCATTGAATAGCACAAGTCAAGAGATTCGAGTAATCAAGATTCTCCCTGCGAAATCAGGACGGTTTGATGAGGCACTAGCTTGCATCTTTGAATATATTTCTTTAGTGGATGACCTTGAAACCGGTTTCACTGCGCTATCTTACACATGGGGCGATGTCGTTCATGATGAGGACCATCCCAATGGCGAGCAAATAGCTAGAGGGCTTAGTGAGCCTTCGAGAGCATTGTCATCTGAGCCTAATACCGTTGATGGAGTACCTGTTAATATTGGTAAAAATCTCCTGGATGCTCTCAAGTACTTTCGATCCGAAGCGGCAGTAAAGACGACTCAGCGGACATCGCCACAAAAGCCTCGCTTTAAACCAGAGACTTGTCTTTGGGCAGATGCCTTATGTATCAACCAAGAGGATCTGACTGAAAGAAATCAACAGGTATCCATGATGCATCAAATCTATAAGCACGCTTCTCGCATATTAGTTTGGCCAAGCATCCCTCATTCTGAAGGTCAAAAGGAACTCGCTGCGATCATCGACAGTTTCGGAAATGATCATTGGAACACTACGCAATCGCTTCTAAGATCGCATAACACGAAACTCATTACCATTCTTCAAAATCCCCAACTCGACAAATGCTGGGAAGCACTCGAGAAGATCCACAAATCACCTTACTGGAACCGACTCTGGATTGTCCAAGAAGTCCTGAGCAATTCTGAAACCTGGGGATACGTTGGCGAAGAGCTCATTCCCCTTCTCCCTCTTCTCGCCATAAGTCTAGCACTCCAATATCTAGACAACAGCGAAATTGAAACTCTTCCGCCATACACAACCTATGTCATCGAATCTGTTCGGATTCCTGTCAATCTACCGCTCCTAGATGGCAAACTACATTTCTCAGACCCAACAACCAAACCTATGGAACTTCTCGATATTCTCCAAACATTTCGCAAATTCGAATGTAGAGATCCACGAGATAAAGTTTATGGATTAGCCGGACTGTCCAATCCATACCACCAGAAACTGATGATTGATTACTCAAAGAGCGTGTCTGAAATCTACAAAGATGTCGCTCGCCTAATTATTGAAACAACAGATCGACTGGAGATAATATGCGCAGATGAAAAAACAAAATGTCACTGTCCTTCTGGCTCACACCAAGATTTATCTTCAATGCCAACATGGGTACCGAACTGGTCTTGTATTGGAGAGGGTACTGGTCTTCGTCCTGGACTCCTAAGAGGTCGAACTGCGGATCATTTGTTTCAGTGGAACGCCTCGGGGAATATGCTTATGGATGCACATATCTCTGAGGATGGTAATGTGTTAAACTGTGGAGGCATACATCTTGCTACTATTACTGATGTTGTGCATCCAGTGGATGATAATGGACCTCTGGATTTTCGCTCTATACTTCAATCGTTCTATGCGGCATATGATATCAATAGCTCTAACCGAGTGGCGTTATTTACTGCGCTAAGGAAGACGCTCTTGAAGACGGGGTATATAGGCGAGCTTGTATCGCAACACCTACCAGTCCCGATATTTCTTAGGATATGTAATATATTTCTCGCCCAGACTTCACCACTGCAAGAAAATGATGCAAAGCTAGTGAGTAAATTGTTCTACTATCTCAAAATGGCATTGGAGGATCGATGTTTCTACACGGGTATGACCAGCGAGGGCTGGAGATGGAACAGCGTAATGGGTGTTACGTTTCCGTTTTCGAGAAAGGGAGATGTGATTGCGGTGCTGTATGGATGTAGATGGCCTGATTTATTGAGAAGACGAGGATTGGAGCAACGGGATGGGTTTGTGGTTCTGGGGGAAGTGTATGTAAATGGGTTTATGAACGGAGAAGGGTTAGAATTGGGGATTAGCGAGAAAGTGTTTGAGATATATTGATGTGGGTGGTGTATCAGGATTGCTTGTAATCGGGGGTTCATATTTATTCACCCCCTTATCGTCGATAAGGGGGCCTCAGCAATTCGTCAACTTTTCAGCAATTCGTAACTTTTGATGATAATTCTTATAGTTTTTATTCTTTTGATAATACAAATAGATATTTCTAATCAGATTGAATCAATAGTTGTTTTGTATATTTCAGAATATCTTCATTTTTTGTAGATAAAAAGTTAGAAAAAATTGATCCTATTCACCGGGGAGGTTTCACACCAAAAAAAAAAGTTGACGAATTGCTGAAAAATTGACGAATTGCTGAGGCCCCCTCATTAGTATAATGGGGGGTGAAATGAAATGTAACCCCCGATTAGGCTTTCAACCGGAGGGGAAGGCGTTTGTTGATTAAGCGAAGGACCAGTCACCCAGGCAAACTTCAACATTATGAACGCAAATCGGCTTCTGAATACTTGAAATTTATTGACGCCAATGAATTTTTGAAGTCTCGCTAGTGCTGAAGGCTGTCTTCATTCAATAGAATGAACAATATGCTATGTAAATCAATGCAGTTATTTTGATGGTCATGCTCGCCACCATGACATGATTTTCAGTAGTCTTATATCCCAATCATAATCGACTTCTTGTACACCACATTACAGCTTCAAGATTTCTCGTGGACATTTCCCTTTTCTTCCCCATCATTCAAAGGACTCAAAATCTCGTCCAAAATCGCACCCGCATCACCCAAAAACAACCAATCATCCTTGTCCAACCCACCCGCACTACCCAATCCATCCGCATCCATATTGATCACTGCAACTCTTGCGCCCGCGTCCCTCGCAACATCTACATATCCTGCTGCCGGATACACTTTTGCCGTTGTTCCAACGACCAAGATAAGATCAACAGGTGCTTTGTCAATCCATCGATCTACTTCATCTAGAGTATCTTCTGGGAGAGCTTCTCCAAACCATACAATATCCGGACGCAAGAGAGCAGTGGTGCATTGGGGACAATGAGGAAGTTCCTCTTTCTTGATTGTAGTTGTTTGTTTGTTTGGGTCAAGGTAAGTGATCATGGCTTGCTAGATGTATATTAGCTATAGGTGATTTTGAGGAAGTTGCATCGTACTTGGACTTCCGGGCCAACTCGGGACAACATTGCAGGGCTGAGTGTTAGGGGCATGTAAGGTCTTACCGTTTCCGTAGCTGCGGGAAGAATTTTGATATCATCTTCGCTGGTGATTGCGATAGATGGATGGAAAGGGTCGTCGAAATTGTTGCGTTCACGGTAAGAACAAACTGGATCGGCACATTTAATGTCACAAAGACAGCCGTGAAGAAGTTTGAGGGAGCCTTCTGGATGACCCGCACGTTGAGCCAGACCTGATTGGATTAGTAAAGACTTAGGTCGAATGCCCACAACAGTAAGAGAGATAGCTCAGAACACCGAAACCGAATTAAGGATTTACTTTGGCTAAAATTGCCACTTAACAACTCTCAATCACCACCAGAACGAGTACTTTCGGCCTAAAAGTATGATAACAAACAGACAACATAAGATACATCTCTTCCAAACTCACCATCAACATTCTGCGTCAAACACACAAATCCCTCTTCTCCATCCTTCTTCATTCTCTTCGCCAACTCTGCCAGCGCAAAATGTCCCTTATTCGGTTCCGCAGCAAAGGCCTTATGGCGTCTATACGAATAAAACAACCAAACCAAACCCGGATCTCTGGTGAAAGCATCCAGGGTAGCAAGATTTTGCGAGCGATAATTTCTCCACATGCCACCTGGACCTCTGAAAGTGTCAAGACCAGATGAAGCGCCAAGACCCGCACCGCAAAGAGCGAGAACTCGAGTGGAGGAGGCAAGGACCTTTTTGAACGAGGCAACATCGTTACTAGGCCCATGATCGGGGTTGGAGCGAGGAGCGCGTTGCAAAGGCATTGGATTTGCGGATGCCATTTTGAAAGTACGATGGGGGTTGATGACTTTTTTGATTACAGAAAGTTGATATGATCTGGGAATAGTTGGCAGTATACTTTGGGGATGCAGGTGCATTATATGTAGAGGTTTGTGTGCAAGGCTGAGTGGCGCAGTTTACCTAACCCCGCGCCATGGTTGCCTGATACCAGTAGTCGTGTATTGGCAGATTTACTGGTAAAACTTCAATACAAGGCAGTGTGACATTGTGGATAAATCGTGAGATAATATTCATTGATTTTCGAGGTTGTACATATGCAGGTGGCACGGAGGTTCTTATCGACGATCACGTGGCAACAGGATCTGACACAAACCTGACAATCAAACAAAACCCGATGTATAGAGCCTCGTTAGATCTACAAATACTATACACATACATTGGTTATCGATCCTGTGCTGCTCCCAGCATTGAACGCTACTCAACAAAAAAAGGCACAACTCTATGCGTTGCGGGATACCCGGAGTGTATGGATAGATAAGTAATGTTAGACCAAGTCATTCCTCACCCACCTGCAACACGTCGGATTTTACGATCAGCAGTCTAACTAAATCACAGCGAAGCATCAATAACGACAGGAGGCTACCAGGCCTTCATAACCGTGAGTGAAGAAGCTAAGAGGGCACTGAAGTTGAGTGCTGGCTTTCATTTAGCCACATGACGAAGAACGAACCTCTGATTGCCCCTATTCCCAAACGACTGTCCATTGATATTGTCTCAAGAGTTTTGCGCCTAGACCCGGAGTGAAGAAAAAGTTGAGGATGATGTTATGCTGTTTCATGAGACCTGGGAATACAGCTCATGAATTTTATGTCGGAGGTCGGAGACTTGAGATTGCTGAAGATACGGCCTCGTGCTTAGATTATGAGATTGACATACTATTGATCTGTAAAAATCGAATAGGCAGAACAAGCGTCTTCTGGGGGAATACTATTTGGAGAGAATGACAATATGAAAAGAATTGCATTCACTCTTGATGTCTTTCCTGTTCCAAAAACAGTTGTTCTTCGCTAACCTTCGATGAGGGATTTGTAAAGATGAGGCTTTTGCACAACGAATCCGCCTCGCCTGATAAGCTTACTCACTGCCACCGATAAGACTTGGTAAAAAAACACATCGTCATTCAGATATGCAACAAAACTTTTGTCGAAACGGTAATTTCCGTCTTGGTCAATGTACGACAAGGCGGAAAGAACAAAGGGGTGATTGGGTGGGTAATGAGAAAAAGACTACATAACTCCCAGCATTTCCTTCTTCCCAATTCCGTTGCTGAGTCCGGTAACACAGTTATGTTTCCAAACTGTAGTAGCTATTGCATTTGGTAGAAAGAATGCCGATAACATTCAGATCTCAGTAACAAGAAAAGGCCTATCACTTGATGACTTTTGAATTGTTCTGTTCTCAGTGAAGGACCGGCATTGGCTCGTGCGTCAAGCGGTTCCGCTCCGAAAGAATTGAGAAAAAGGCTGTGCTAAGGCATCTTGCAGGTCTAGACGAGACCAACTTACTGTTGATGTATAAGCTTCATGCAGGACTCCACCATATGCTGAGGACAAAACTGGCTAGGCTGACAGACAAAAGTTTGGTAGCTTCATAAACGATGAAAACGTGGTGCCTGTTAAGCATTTCAAGCCTACTGGGAATAATCTCTTCATTCTCCGTACTTTCCATTGTCCATAGACATTGCATCGCAAAATAGCAAAAGGGTATCGAAGAAAATCCCGTGACCACAACGCCAGAACTCCACCTAGATGCCTTCTCTATATTAATCAATCATCGGAATCATAATCGACCAAACCAGGTACCTTTGGTATGGACGAAGCGTCTTCAATAGGGACGGATCTCTTCCTCTTAACACCAGCTAGCAAGGTTTTGGCTGTGCTCTTGGCGCCGTTTGATTGCTTGTTGACAAGGAACGGATCCATCGCAGCTCTTGTATTACCTCTGATCTCAGCCACGGCATCGTTACGTTGTTTTGCAGCCAATGCCTCAGCTTGCTTTCTTCGCGAGGGGTTTGAGACCTTCTTGTCTGCTGCAAAAGGTTGGCTGTCAATTTCAAAGAGGGGCTTCGAAATTGTCTTGTTGATATTGATTTGAGAATCTTTACCTCCAAATTCAATGAAACCCGCCCTCCTTACATCTTCCTCGTGCTCTGGCAACAAGTCAAGGCCCAAACTCATTTTATCCTGTAGTGCAGATGTTACGCCAGCTTCTTTTTCTCGCGCCTTTCTCCCCTCTCGAAAAGCTCTTCTTAATTTTCTATTCGCTTCATGTGGATCTTCCCATTGTTCAGAAAGATCTTGCAACTCTTCCAGTCGTTTCTTACTACCTACTAGCCTTTCTTTCTCCTCGACCTTTCCCTCTAAAGATGCGAATGCATTGTTCCTAAGTTTCTCCCTCTCCTCTTCGGACAAGATTTTGGTATCCCCGTCCAGGACTTTGTCTTCGCCTGTATCTCGTTTCCTCGCGCCTTCAGTGATCACATAGGCCGTATTCTTTGGATCCGTACGTATCTCGATCCAACCGCCGCAAGTAATATGTTTCATGCGAAAACTATAGATCGGCGTCGAGAGATAGTTGCCTACTTTCTTTTTCTCCGCATTGAATCGTACCCCTTGTCCTATTATGGTGGGCTTCGGGCAATGCGTGCACCAGATAGGATATGGCATCTCGAATCGTACCGTCAGAATACCCTGAGAAATCTTTTTCGCTCGAGCTCCCAAAGCGTGCTTTCCATGTAACTGGTTTCCACTCATCAATCCCTCCTGGTCAGGAGGGACATAACGTCCCATATTGAAGCCTTGCATTTTTTGTTTGGTTGGAAGTGAATTCCGTGATGATTGAGTTTATGCGAGTAACGTAAAGACGGAATTGCCTCCTGGTTAGCATATGCTTTCGTTGATGCGAGAATAATTCCTGCTGGCCCTTTATTGAATTTTGGTGTTTAACGTACGGTGATTTTCTGTGACGTAGGTAGATGGGTAAATTGAGATGTGGTTGTGATAAGAACGAGACGAGAATTCCCAAGTTAGTAATAAGCATCGGCTCTTAGTAATACCGTATCACGTGCATGTACAAGATTAAGGTTATCGCCTCTCGAGATTTGAGCATCTTACTGTTTCCCGTCGCCAACACACGTCCTTCTTGATATCATATTGCGACATCTTTGTTTAAGATTGATTTCAGAAAAGCAGCGCTTAATAACTCTACTGTATTGTTCACATATCAAAGGACTCATCAAACTTTTTATTTTATATACGCAAGTAAAGACTCAGAGATACCATGTCGGACGTCGCAGAATTGGAGAATGATATCAAGGAGTATAAGCTTCAGGTAGGTTCGCGAGTTACTTGTTCTATTATTATTGTATATTTGCAATGCTGACATTCTTATAGCTTGAGACTGTCCAGTTGGGGCTACAAGCAGATCCTGATAATGTAGAGCTTCAGACACTACAGGCTGAACTCGAAGAAGTCATTTCCCTCACCGAATCCACGATCGCAGAACTAAAGCCAGCTCCAGCACCTGTAGCCCAAGTAAAGAAACCCTCAGAGCCGCCAATAAAAGAGAAATGGTCACGAGAAAACCACCCTGCTTTCAAGAAAGCAGCACCTCCTCCACCTGAAGAGCCCGAAGTTGTAACGTCTTTTTCGGTCAACGATATGGTATTGGCGAAATGGCACTCAGGCGACAAAGGATTTTATCCAGCTCGAATCACATCTATAACCGGCTCTTCTACATCTCCTGTTTACATTGTCAAGTTCAAGAACTATGACACCACAGAGACTCTGCGAGCCAAGGATATTAAACCCATAGTCAACCCAAATAAGCGTAAAGCTGATGGTACACCAGTCGTAGCTTCGGTCCCTACTCCTCCATCGACATCGAATGTTATTTCGGCAGCTGCCGATATTGATCCAGAACTCGCGCAACAATCTAAGCGCGAACCAAGCAAAGTCAGTGATGGACCCACGAGACCGGCCAAAGTACCAAAGAAGATCAAGGCAAAGAAAGAATTAGATGACGGTAAGAAGAAATGGCAGGACTTCGCTGCGAAAGGAAAGTTTGGAAAGGCAGGAAAGAAGGACAGTATGTTCCGTACCCCTGACGGGGTAAATGGTAGAGGTAAGAGATATTCCTTGATTCCTTTTATTTTCTCAATATCTAATACGTTTTGCAGTCGGATTTACTGGATCGGGACAAAGTATGCGAAAGGATCCGACGAGAAGTCGTCATATATACCAAACCAATGGTGACGAGGAGGGTTTCGCGTAAGAGGAAGTAGGGGTGAGGAGGGGAGGGGTTACTCTCTGCAAGTATAGGTGTTCAGGCTGGGATTTCCCTTTCTATTTTTCATTTCCCTTTTTTTCAGCATCATCATAGGCAATTTGATGTAGGCTGACGTAGGCTTTGCGCACGAGTACTAGAATTTTGGATGCTTGTTCTTCGAATGAACCTAATTTTCTACCAGTATTGTTACCGAATGACAATGAAACATGCTAAAGATCGCTTTTGAATAGGAAACCTGAGAATCACGAGCCTATTGGGGGCTTTCTGTTTTCACCTGACCTTGATTCAACAGTCCAGGTACGAAATTTTCTGCACCGCACTTGATACCGCGATTTCTATGGCTCTCCTTCAATTTCGTTGCCCCTACAAGTTTCTTAGCTCTACAATGCCTATGTTGTTTGTTGCTCGCCCCTTGACTGTTGTTATTTTGGTCTTAATAAATACTATCAGAACAAGCCAATCTTCCTTCCTACAGTTTCCGTGATTGACATAAATGCTTTTGCTCTTTCGCTTTCGGGCTCCGCTACGACGGTTGGTTTTCCCCTATCCGCATCGTCGCAAATACTCGCATGTAATGGTATATCTCCCAGAAAATCAATTCCGTACTTTTCACAAGCATTAGTAACCCCAGAATGCGACCCAAAAATATGTGTACTATTCTGACAATGTGGGCATGTGAATAACGACATATTCTGTACCATTCCCAGAATTGGAATATCGATCTTCTTGAACATGTTGATACCTTTCACTGCATCTTTAAGGGCTATGTCTTGAGGTGTCGACACAATTACCGCTCCTTAAAACGGTTAGCATCTTCAACCAACAACAAGAATGCCCATACCGTCAAGTACGATTTGCTGTGTTATAGTCAATTGAGTATCTCCGGTTCCTGGTGGCAAATCGAGAACCAAAACATCCAATCCACCCCAGTCTACCTCGTGTAGAAGTTGCTGTAGTGCTTTCATGACCATCAATCCACGCCACACAACTGGTGCAGCATCACCCACTAGGTAACCCATTGACATGGATTTGACGCCATAATTCGAGAGTGGTATAAGTTGATTGTCTGCCGCCCAAATATCAGACGTGTCCCATATATCTCATTCAGACCAAAGACGCACTTGAGGATAATCTAGGCTCCCCCGATAGATTCAAAAGTGTAGGTATTGAGGGACCAAAAATATCTGTATCTAGAATACCACTTCTTAGACCACGGCGAGCAAAGGCGAGCGCAAGATTGACTGTCTCTCAATTAGTAGTTGTTTCCATGGAGATATCACACTAAATTCATACCAGAAAGCGTTGACTTTCCAACCCCTCCTTTCGCAGATGAAACTGCAATCACTTTCTTTACATCTTTTATCTTTCTTCGTTCGGGCAACCCACGCTGCATGCGCGGAATACTACCCGTTCGTGGTAATCCCTGGTATGCGTCAACAACCTCTCATTTTCTTCGAATAATATCCTTTAACATACCAATGGATTCTCATGCTGTAAGCTCCGTAGAGTAGAGAACAATCGTTGTTTCATTTTATTCATGTGTTTAATTGAAGCTTCAACGATGATGCGACGAGAGCTTGACTTTTGAGCGGATATGCACCCGCTAGCGCGCCAAGATTTCGTGGGGCGGAAGCTCCAAAATAATTTTTTGGATTGAAGTTCTGCGGAAAAACAAAACTTCTCCAAGTTTGAGGTAAAAACAAACAATATGGCGAAATCAAAGAATTTGGCAAAACAAATCAAGGAATTGGAAGATCCTATTCCTAAGGGTAAGTTTGTGTTCTTGGGCAATTACCACAGAGACAATTTTACTGATTTGGACTTCTTTTCGCAGATTTCGATCCAGAAGATGATAAGCCGGCGCAAGAGAGCGATTCGGAAAGTGGTGATGAGAGCGATGACGGATTGGCGGGGACAGAACATTATGTTCAAGTTGGGTAAGAAGTCTCTGTTTTATCTTCTTTCGATAAAGCTTTACTAATCAAAAATTACAGAAAGAGCAAGCTTCGAAAACCAGAAGAAGTCGCACTTGGCCCTCAGTATGCCGGATCTCGAGTCACTCGCGAACAATTGATGAACGGCGATGATGAAGATGAATCCAACTCTGTATATGAAAGCGCCGATGAAGAAGCAAAATTTGAGGGAATGGAATTCAACGGGGAATTTGACGATATGGAGGTCGATAGTGATGAGGCTTTGGGAGAGAGCGACGAGGAAAAGTTCAAGGATTTCGTCTTCCGAGGAAGTGGAAAGCCGAAGAAGCCTGTTGATGCAAAGAAACCATCGGATGTCAATGGCGTGAAGAAAAGACCTACCGCTGCCGATTTCATGTCTGACAGTGGTGAGGAGGAGGGCGTGGGATTATCTGAAGAGGATGATCTTGAGGATGAAAAGGAAAATGAGACTGATGAAGATATCTTGGATGTTGATGCTCAACATGCCGAGGTCATGGAAAAAGATTCCGACGAAGAAGATGATGATTCGGAAAACCCTGACCAGAGTGGTGGGGAGGAAGCTGGTAGTGATGAAGAGAGTGAAGAAGAAGCATCCGGTGACGACGAAAACGATGAAGACGAGCAAGCAAGACGTGCTGAACTGCGAAAGATTATGGGAGAAGAACAGAAAACGGTAGTCGCAACAATCTCTCAAGCAGCAAAAGCAGATGCAGAGAAGGGTAATGCTGTCAAGCAACAACGCAAAGCATTCGATTCACTTCTCAATGTTCGCATTCGCCTTCAAAAGGCTTTAGTAGCTACCAACTCGCTAGCTGCAGCTGAAGATAAGGACCAGGAGGATAGCGATGAGAATCCTTTCCAAGCCGCAGAAGAAGCTGCTATTAAGTTATGGAACACAATCGATGGTCTTCGACACGATCTTTCAAAGGCAGCCAGTACGTCCAAAACGGGACAGAAACGGAAGCGCGGCATTGATTCTGCCACCTCCTCTTCTGCCATTTGGGATCGAATGCAAGCTTCCGAGATTGCAAATATCGACAATCGACAGACTGTCCTTGAAAAGTGGTCTAGCAAAGTCCGCGCTACAACGGCCCTCCCTATCTCCCGCAAACTCAACCCCAATGCGCCCCAACAATCCATCACTTCTCTTCTGCAAGATACACTCTCTAGTTCTGAACATCTTATTTCTCGCACCAAGGTCCCTCGCTCTTGCGCTCCTGTTCAAAAACAAATGAAGCTTACCACCGATCCAAACATTTACGACGATGCCGATTTCTACCAGCTGCTTCTCAAAGAATTGCTTGATCAACGAATGGTTGACTCTTCTTCTGCAGCTACTGGTGAAGCTGGTAAACCTATGCAATGGACTGCAGTGAAAGAAGCAAAGACAAGAAAGAATGTTGATACCAAGGCTAGCAAGGGTAGAAAAATGAAATTCACAGTCCACGAAAAGTTGCAAAATTTCATGGCCCCGGAGGATAGAAATTCGTGGGAGGAGAGTGCGAGGGATAGATTTTTCGCAACTTTGTTGGGTAGAAAATTAGATTTGGGTGAGGGTGGTGATGAGGAGGACGTTAGCGATGATGAAGTGAACAATGAAGAGGCGGGTTTGATGTTGTTTAGATCTTGAGGTTGAGTTCGTCGGGCAAGAATGACATAAAACATACAGGTATAATAAAAGCTTGGAGATAGATGTATGGACATATAGCATAGCATAGCATAGGAACTCGGAAATTATATAATACCAAAAAGAATGAGTATTTTACATATATATTTTCCTCCTTGTATAGATTCACTTTCACATACCATGATGATGATGAGAAGTATCTACCATTGAACTTCTCAACTCCAAGCTTCCTCTCAAACACCAAAGACCAAAGATCTAGTATCATCCCACCACGTCATCCTCCGTATGTTAAAAAATACTGAATGCACAACATGACTATGTATTCATCTAAATCCACCCGAAACCCAGATCCCATTCCATAGAGGCCAAATCTCTCTCCCTACCCTCCGCGTAGGTAGTAAAATATGTAATCCATTCCCAGTGACCGACCATCAATATATCTAATAAAATTCTCCATTTCTCATTCCTTACCGGAAGAATGAAGTATAGAAATGTATGTCCACGAGGAGCCCCCTCCCCTCTCTATTTCTCTCTTAAGGGTATATATAGCGTCTGGTGATATCAAGCACTGAATCTTTCCTTCTCTTTTCCCTCTTCTTTTTTCAACTCCACTCAACTTAACTCCACTCCACTCAAGTCAAGTCCACTCCACTCCTTCCGGTGAGCCCTTCCTCGCGTTTTTGATCGTTTTATATCGTTTCATATCATAGGTATCATACCATATTCTCTACATACAACCACCCACTCAGTGAACATAACCTTCCCCATTCTTTCAAATCAAACAACCATTCTGTAGGTACCCACCTATTCAATGACCTTTTCCTCTGCATATAGTAGCCCCCACCCCCCCCCCCCCCCCTACCTCAAAAGTCCCCATGAGTAAGTAGTCTTCTCATTCTCATTCTCATTCTCATTCTCATTCTTATTCTTATTCTTATTTTTATTCTTATTTTTATTCTTATTTTTGTTTTTGTTTTTATTTTTATTTTTATTTTTATTTTTATTCTTATTTTTGTTTTTGTTTTCATTCTTATTCTCATTTTTATTCTCATTTTTATTCTCATTTTTATTCTCATTCTCATTCTTATTCTCATTTTCATTCTCATTCTCATTCTCCCTCTCCTTCACACATTACCAGCCTACAGATGTGAGATTCCACCACAACGTAGTCGATAGGTATTGACATTGACATTGATCTTGGAGCGTTAGGATTCCACTCTCACCATAATCATCTCTTCCCTACCCCCCTACCCGCCCCTTTCCGAATCACCTATCCACCTACCTACCTGCCTGCCTAGGGAATGAAGAATCATTATCTACTCCAAACCACTCATCCAGATATCACGCAGGGAACTTCGATATGTGTGTGTAATACATCCTCGCGAGTAAATCCATTATGTTAATCAAATACTCATTCTAAAAGTCCACCAGCCCACCCATCAGCCAGGAAGCAATTTCAAGATATCAAGAACTATATTCGAGCGCGTTCCTCGCCCAACCCATGCACGCACGCCCTGTAAAGTTCAAAACTCCATTCCTTTGTTTATATCAAGAACCTATTCCATCCTGCCCATTACTTGCCACCCCCAGTCCACAAACACAAAGCTCAGAAGCCGAATTAAGTTTCCAAAACTCTCGTGCTAATCCGCACTCCCACTCCCCTCAAAACTCTTCTCCCATAAGCTCCTCAAGAGCGCCGCAACATTTTCCTCATCCAATCCACTACCACCATCCCGATCCGTATCGCTACCCCTCTCCTCTCCGTCATAACTCTGTCTTGCCCCCTTCCTCGCATTTCCATTCCTTTCCCTCAAACTACCCGCTCGGCTTACACTCGCACTCTTGCTATGCCCATGGCCATTTCCAGATCCTGGGATATTTTTACCCCCATGCCCAAGCTCTCCCATTTTCTCTAACCTCTTGATACCTCGTCCAACAGGATCTTGATGACGTCTTACAACCAAATATTCCAGACCCGTTCTCTCAAGCTGCACTTTAATCCTCGGATCCCCTTTTCCATCTCCGCCCATTAAGTATCCTCCATTACCCATTCCCATGCCCATACCTATACCCATTCCAGGTCCAAATCCCATACTGCTTGCGCCACCATGATTACCCATTCCCATACCGCCATTCAATAATGACAATGCACCCAGACCCTCTCTCTGGGGTTCAATATTCGACGATGCTCTTTGAAGCCAAAGTTTCTGTTGCGTGCGCGAATTATACGCATTAGGCGGCCCCGAAACACCACTTGTAGAACTCTTTCGGCTTCGAGGCAATAGAGCCGATTCCTCTTCCCCATCAACATTATGTTTTGTCAAATTTCCCATCGACTTCGCTCTTGCCATTTCCCCAATCCCGCCATGCGTCTTTTCCAATGCACTGCCATTGATAGCGCCCGTCCTAGATTCTCCCCGATGATCCGGCGGAGGAAACTTCGGACTGTTTTCCCCCGGTGTCCCAGCATCTCCCACGAATCTTGATATCAATTCCTGATTTCCGCTCGCGGTACTAGCACCCATACTCTTCACTATCCCCGTCGATCGATCCATGCTACCCGAATGTGCATGCGCCATTTTGGGCGTTGGTTTCGCAGTCGCCATGCTCATTTTTGTCTCCGAAGCCAAATGAGATGGTGTTCTCTGAAGTAATTTCTCTGTAATCAATTTTGCGTCTGCGGTTGAATAACTATTTCTATTCGCTTTCGTGTTTGTATCTGTCTTCACAATACCATTTCCATCAAAGTGATCGATTGGGCCCTTCGCAAAATCTCTCACAGAATCCGGACCATTAGTCCTTTTGGCTTTCGGCGAAGAAAGAGGAGATTGATGTCGAGAATTAGCTGCAGAATTGGCGGCGGATGGTTTGGCAGATGTATTTGCACTGCGACTCAAAGCCGGACTTGCGGTCGAACTTGCTTCTTCCCAACCTTCTTCGTTGTCGTCTTCGACTTCCGTCTTTCCCGGCGTATCTATACCCAATTCAAAATGTACACTATTCGGTCTCTTTTTACCCTGCTGCTCATCCGAGTTCTTCGATTTTCTCGATTGCCCCGTGGTATTCTGTACATCTGCCGAGCTACGATTACGTTTCAGGGCCGTCTGCGAAATATTTTTCTGCCGATTGAGATTCGTGCTCGAATTGTGTGGTTTATCCCACGGCGCTTGAAATTCCTTCAAGTTATCGTTGCTCGTAGTATGGCTGTGATGATGATTGTGGTTACTCGTGCTCGATGTACGCGATAATTTATGCAGCGCCTTATTACTGCTCACACGTCCGTATTTGCCGTGACCAACTACGTGTTTGCGCTCGCCTTTGGCTTTGGGTTCTTTATGCTGTGTAGCAGTTGTACCTGAAGCTGGAGGTGTACCCGCCGGAATATCGCTTTGGTGGCTGGTGACCGAGGACGTGGATCGGTGATGGGCCGCCAGATTGGGCCGTAATTGCGATTGGGATTGCGATTGGGGGGCGTCTTCTGAAGGAGCATGAGGGGGCATTTTAATTGTCGTTTGCTTTAGTGTAGATGTAATGTATGTGATTGATGCAGGGCTGAAAATCGTGAGAGGTGATTGTGTACTTTTTTATGGATTGAGATGCAGGACGTCTGGAGGTTGATGTGTTGGTGCGAGCCGATTGCTAGACTGGTGGACTACTCCATAGAAAGCCAAACTTACGTAGTTCTAGATCATGTTCTGTGGGGTGCAGTTCTTTATTCACTTCTACTTGAGAATATATGTGTAGGTACATTTTTGTAATTGGGTGATTGGGTGATTGGGTGATTGGGTGATTGGGTGATTGGGTGTATCAATTGTTTATTACACGGTAAAGTCGTATCGTATCCAAATATTCATGAAGCAATTATTAATCTGACATTGATGCTAGCTACGACACTACTGTATTATGTAGCCTTGCTCAAGAGGCTGAATGGAGGAAGGAAGGTAAAAAGGGGTAAATGACACCCCATTGCTGCTCTTCAATTATCATACATAGGTATACGTAGCATTTAGCCAAATTCCGAATACTACGAAAAAGTTTTGATCTTACCCAGATATACATTCTTATCATCATTTTCCAATGAGGATCTGGATATTAGAAATTATGACAATTGGAAACTCTCAGATAGGTTTGAACTTAAATGGGCCTGAAACATTTCAACAACCACTCACATGCATTTTATTGCTCATCAAATACAATAGTAAATTTTGTTCATTCAGTTACTTGATATTGATGCTTGATGATACATCCGATACATCCGACACATCCCATTAATAAAGAACGCCAGCATATGTTTGCTTAAATCAGAAATCAAAACCGCTTAATATATACAGTCCTTAGACCTTGACAGCCGGTCCTGCTGCAATGACATCCTCAGTCGCTTCCGACTGGTATTTCTTAAAGTTCTCAACGAAGAGACCACCAAGTTTGGCGACCTCGGCTTTGAAACTATCATCTCCTTGGCTCCATGCATTTCTTGGGTTCAACAATTCCGATGGAACATTGGTGCAAGTCTTTGGTACTTGGAGGTTGAAGGTATCGTAATTTTCATACTCAACCTTTGCAAGCTCTCCAGAGTGAATTGCGTCAAGAATAGCACGAGTGTATTTCAATCTAGTTCATATTAGCATATATTATTCCGGAAGGTTTTAATTGTACTTACGGGCAACGCTTGCCACCAGTGGTAGCACCAGCTCCAACCCATCCAGTGTTCAACAACCAAGCATTGGCCTTGTGGTGCTCAATCTTCTCAGCCAACATCTTAGCATAACGCATTGGGTGTAAAGCCAAGAAAGGTTGAGCGAAGCAAGATGAGAAGGTAGCCTGTGGCTCTGTGACACCATCTTCGGTACCGGCCATCTTTGAGGTGTAACCGGAGATGAAGTGGAACATGGTTTGGGCGGAGTTAAGCTTGGAAATGGGTGGAAGTACACCACGAGCATCACATGTAAGAAGAATGATGTTGCTTGGGTGGTTTGTCGATAGACAAGGAATCTTGGCGTTAG